AGAATACGTATGGTCAGGAGAATCACGAGTACATTATATAATCAAAAACATAAATCAGTTTTTGGTCCAACTTTAAATGCGCTCAAGTAAACTATTTAAATAAATATGCATGTTCGAGAAACCCTCCGCGCAGGGGTGACACGTGGCTCACGTTAACAACCAAAATAATGGCAAAGGATGTTTGATCGCTCGAGATACACTAAATCACCATAATCAATCCAAATCAGCTCGAAAACAAGCCAAAGCTACGAAAAATAAACGAAAAAAATGACTAAGAAGCTTACCCAACTCCTGACAAAGAAAGGACGACAACAACGAGGCAGGATTGACTGAGTTTTGTTCGGGAACATTGAGGTCGGTCAGAACGACGAAAAATAGTAGAAGCAAAGTTTTAACTCTAGCGGATCTTTGCAACGTTCTCCATGGTAATCGGTGGCGATTCACAGAGTGTGGGCGATAGGATTTTGCTCAAAGCAAGAAGACATTTATGATGCCGTCGATGATGACGATCCCCGATCAATGACAATAGAGATCTAAGGCAAAGAGGACATCACAACTTCATTGGCTTTTTAGCGAACGACAATCGACGTGGGTGAAAGACGAAGGTTGGAATTTGGTCATGGGACCACGCTGCACACCACAGACAACTAGAGAAGGTTGGACAACGATGGACAACGGTTTTGATGGTTGAATGACTTCTTGGGGGCTTGGCTTACTTCAAAATGGGAATAGTCTGGAGTGCAATCGCCAAGTTGAGGAGGCATTTTGCGTATGGAGCAAATTGGGTTGGGAAGGTCGCCCTTATAATGGGCCTCTGTAAAATTCGATCTGGATTAGTCTGTCAATAGATCAGATACCAATGATTAATTCAAAACAAATTAGGGGTTATAAAAATCTAATATGTATTGATGTAATAAATTAAACTTGATATCATATCAGCAACAATAGCCTAGCGTAAATGCTAAGGCTTAAGCTTAGTTTCCAGTAGGTCACGATTTTAACCCCCTTTAAACTATATATTTTTCTTTTCTCTCTTTCTATCATCTCTACAGTCAGAGGTTAATGGGTAAAACATGGCTCAGGATTCGGAACTTTCCTTGAGTTACAGATAGGTTCATAAATTTTAATAAGGTGTCAATTTAGTCACCGTAATTAACTTAAGGAATTATCATTATCTAGGAAAATTGGGGTGTGACAATTATGATCAGAATATATAATGCATAAACATTAAGAATTAAATTATTATTATATCGAATTAAAATTATCAAGTAAATTTTTATTATTAAATTAATTTTGAGTAAAACAATACAATAAATAAATTAAGTGATTATTTTAAAATTTTATACTTGGATAGTTAAAAGAGAAAATTACTAATATTTGAGTGATTATTTGTATAATTTATCTAATTTGGTATATGTTAGAATATATTAAATAAGCAAAGTAGTGAGTCAAGAAAGACTAACTTTAAATAACATATTATCCCAACACATACATATATAAATACATTCGAGTTCTGAACAACTTATTTTATTGCGTAAATTACAAATTTGGTAACTAAACTTTCATACGATTTCTATTTTACTCACCGTACTTTTAAAATTTTCAATTTGCTTACTCAACTTTATGGATTGAACTTTTTGTTCACTCCACTGTTATATCACTAACAGCTCGTTGATGTGAAATATTTTAATATTAAACATGCCACATCGGATTTCCACGTAATAATAATGATAAGGGTAAATGACAAATTTGATAATTGAACTTTCATATGATTCATATTTTACTAATCATACTTTCAAAATTTTCAATTTTCTCACTCAACTTTATAGATTGAGTTTTTGGCCGAGGTGAGCCGGGGTGAGATGAACGGACACGAGGTGGCTGGAAAACAGGTTCAAACTGTTTACCCAATAGCTGACAACGGAGGCAACGACGATGAGAATGCAAATCGACTGGGTTTTGGTCGCAAAGAGGAGATGACTTCAACAGTGGCGGTGGTGAGACGAACAGACCGCCCGGGTGGCCGAAAATCGTCGAAAACTGATGGGAAGCTTTGGTTTCCCGACGAAACTTCGACAGTTTTTATATGACAAATGATGAGGAGCCTTGACGATCAGCCACCAGAGTTTTGGTCGCGGTGGCCTGACACTCGCACCGATATTGGCAGTGCGAGCCATAGCTAGTCGAAAATGGGTTCAGCGATGAAGGCAGCGGTGGACGATCGTTGACGATGAGAAGTTTTACAACAGAATGACAAAAAAAACTCAATCTATAAAGTTGAGTGAGTAAAATAGGAGTTATATGAAAGTTCAGTTATCAAATTTGTAATTTAACTTTTATTTTTTTACTGGTCATAGCATCCGTGGCTTTTAATGATTAAAAATTATTTCTCTAAGCCACGTCATAACGGCGTGAGAAGCTTAACGGCAAAGTGACAAAAAAAAACTCAATCTATAAAATTGAGTGAGCAAATTGAAAATTTTAAAAGTACGGTGAGTAAAATAGGAATCGTATCAAAGTTTAGTTGTTAAATTTATAATTTACCCTATTTTATTAGACGGTGGACTGCGACAAAAATAGTGTCTCATATGATTTTTTTGGATGGTGATGAAAAATAAAATACGGAAGAGGAGAAAAACAAAGAGGAAAAGAAACCCCAGTTACTTAAATCGGTTCTGTTTGAAAATTCTATATTACAAATCTGATTGAATTGAAAACCAATAATATTATTTATATAATAAAATAATAAAGTTTGGGTGACTGACTTGACTTGACTTGAAGGTGAATTGCATTTGTAACGCTCAAAGAGGTTGGTGAAACTAGTCAATTTTGCCTACGATATTCTTTGATTTTAATAAGTTATATTACTGCTCATTCAACTTCAATTTTTAGAACGCTTGTATTTTAATTATTTTAATAAATATTGTTAAATTAATTCAGTGGTCATGGCATTGGGGCTTTTGTGAAAGGTCCCAAGTTTGATTTACAACCTTCACATTCGATTTTTATTTTAAATTTTTTTCAGTGATTAACGTCTATATGTTTTAAAGTTTAGATTACCATTAGAGTAGTTTATGCTAATAATTAATGTTTGTTTATTATTATTTTAATCCCACTCTTCAAGGATTAAATGTGCCATTACATGCAAACTTTCTCCTGCTCCCACCTTCCCTCGCCAAATTTTCTTACAGCTGTCCAATCACTTAATACGTGTCGAAAACATATGTTAACATGGGCATGAGCACAAGTTGAGTCGCGATTGCGATTCACATGTCTCCGATCACTTAATAAATGTATGTTTGAAAAATTATATTTAAACATTTGAAAAAAATCAAAATCTAAATAATATGAAAATTGAGAATCTCATTATGGAAGTTCTTTCATCTTGAATTATCAAATATTAGTTATAAATTTTATTTAGACTCACGTCTCTTGTCAGTACGACAATTAAAAAAATAATAAATATTCAAATCTCAAGTATTTTAGAAGATAACATTTAATAGACAAATACGAGTATCCAAAACATACTTCAAATACTACTCTTATAATTTTTTCCTATAATTTTGGTCGCTTTCTCCCCCCCCCTCCTTTTTCTATTTTGGCCTTTAACAACACAACCATTGAAAACGTCAAATTATTTCTAATTAAAGTATGATCGTAATCTTTACTCCACATGACACAAATAAGCATTATTTTTCTAAACAATCTTTTTAGATATTATTTTCTAAAATAATAAAAAATGTATTATTTACCTAAATGTGCATATATCCAATCATTCTTAAGCATTTGCCAAATAAAACATTCTTAAGAATCTTTTGGTTACATATATTAATTTTGATGGGGGAAAAATAAGTAATGCTTTGTACAAAATCATTAGGATTCTTCTTATTGGATTTATTTAATTTGTGGGTAATGCAATAAAGTTCCCAAGAGCAGCAGCAATCACGTGGGGAGGTCTGGCTGATGCTCCCGGTCGTCATATTCATCTTAGCCGGCGCAGCCCCGAATTGACTATGTTACCATTACTTGTCTTGACTCAATTCTGATCAGAATTTTCAAACTTCCAAGCCCTTATCCTTTCATTATTTTACAGTTTTGTCCATTTACTTCACCCACCATTTGCATACGAAATCCAACTAATTTATTTATTTATTTTATTTGTCTTCTTCGTGCTAGTCAAAATATGCTTGCGAGAGAACAATGCTTCTCACATTTAAATTATTATTTCATTGAGAATTCTTTATGTGATTTTAGTGATAAAAAATATTATTTTTTTCCAAATATTTCAGGTCTAAGCATCGTTTATATAATTTTATTAAGTAAAAAGGTATTACAATTTCAAAGAATATATCGAGATTCAAACTCATTTAAGATGAGAAACATGAATATTCTTAATTACTTATTGAATTAACGGATCTCAATTACATGTCAATTTTACCTTTTATTTCTATGACTTAAATTATGATGTTTAAAATTAGGATTTTTTTTAAATATGATTGTTCATATATAATGTCTTAACTTTGAAAAGTACTTTAAGGATATTTAATCTTACGGGTTAATTAGATGCTAATTTAATTGAGAAATAATTTTAAAAACGAATTAATTGAATATCACAGAAACAATTGAATTGAAAGTTGAAACACTCTCAATTTAGAGGTAATAAATCTTATAACTATTTTTATAAATAAATTTTAAACAAAAAACTACTAATTAAAAATCAAATACAGAATTGATGAATTTATAAAAGGATAAATTGTTAGTTCACCTGTAATTATTTATTTCGTTAATTTTTCATAAAAGAGTTGCACAAAATATTTTGACTCAACGAGTATGACAAAAGGAAAATAAATAAATTTGTGCGTACGGGGGACATGAGAGTGAAATTATTAGTATTTCATAAGGATTGATTTGTAAATAAGCGCTCGTCCGTGAGGCACGTCTCGACAGTCCTGCTTATCTTTGTATAAATACATTAACCAAAACTCTTTCAGTTGCATCATCTCCCTCATTTCTGCTTCAGTTATTTTCAACGAACCCATCAACAGGTATGTCTAATTTCTCCCAATAGCTTTGATCATCTCTTGGCCGCTCGTGAAGCCTTTCATTTTGATTTTCGCTTTTCTTCTCCTCATATTGATCTTTGTAGTTTTTAATCGAATTCATATTCAAATCAGATCTGTTTAGCGGTACACAGCGTCTTTTTCTTGTGATTATAAGTTTTTCCACTCGATTGGTACTGTGGAATTTTCTCTATATTTTCATTAAAATAATTGTGTATTTTGTTAATAAAAGAGATTGATTTCGTAGTAACAAAAAAAATCCCCTTCAAGTTACAACATTTGGATTAGCCATAACTCAGATTAGTTTTGGATTCGATTATATTTAGCTTAAAATATTGACTAAAATACATATTCTTTTAGCTCAACTTTTTTGGGTTGTTAAAACAAAAACTAACGTTCTTTTTTCATGTTAGTGCAAAGTTATAGCCCATGCTTTTGATGTGAAGTTTAAGAATAACCAAAAAAAAAAAAGAAGCAAAACTTTCATTACACTAATTGTTCTTGACTCTTGGAAATTTTTAATACCCTTTATAATAATCAGAATTAAGATTATTATCAAGCAGTAGCTTATGGTAACTTGTACTCGCTGCAGATCTATTTTAGATTCACCTATGGCTCAAACAGCAGCAGCATCTTCAGATTCTATAAAGCCAAGAGGTATGGAATTTTCTCTCTGTTGATGCATCTAGAAAGATTTGCATGTTTGATAACTTCTATGATTGGTTTATTCACTTATTGTAAAAATTCCGTGATAGGGTTTATACCTTGATATGAATTAATTTAGCTAAATATGTTATAGTAATAGTTGAAAAACGATTTCCTTATTTATGGGTGGATACATGTGTGCATATTTTATCATCTTGCCCGGGTAACAATCCTTTGGTATAGATGCTTTAGCTTATAAAATGAAGAAAAAAAAGAGTAATTGAGATCATTTGAGGATAATTTAGTTGTTTTATTTCGTATAAGATGAATGAAACTTGCTTATGTTTTTATCAATGTTTGTTGTATATTTGTACAGATGTTTGTGTTGTTGGTGTTGCACGTACTCCAATGGGTGGATTTCTTGGGTCTCTGTCATCTTTACCTGCCACCAAGCTTGGCTCAATAGCCATAGAAGGTTTGATTGGAAAAACCTTGGTTCACTTGTCGGATAATTATGTTTGTTTCATTATTTTAGGATGCTCACCCATTTTACTTAATTTCTATATATGTCAAATTGCAGCTGCTCTTAAAAGGGCAAATGTTGATGCGTCACTTGTGCAAGAAGTTTTCTTTGGCAATGTACTCAGTGCAAATCTGGGTCAGGCTCCTGCTAGACAGGCTGCACTAGGTGCAGGAATACCAAACTCAGTTATATGTACCTCCGTTAACAAAGTTTGTGCATCTGGGATGAAAGGTCTGCACATTACAATTTAAGTGTTATTTTGAAAAACTAAAAGAGGGTATTCCCTAAATGCAGTATACTTTTCCTTTTTGTTTGGGGCTTTGCAGCAACAATGCTTGCAGCACAGAGTATTCAGCTGGGCATCAATGATGTTGTTGTGGCTGGTGGCATGGAGAGCATGTCTAATGCACCTAAATATTTGGCAGAAGCAAGGTTAATACCATTCTCCTGTTCACGGTTCCCTTGTTGTGTTCAATTTATGATTTCTGATCAAGTATTAGCATGCAGGAAAGGATCTCGGTTTGGGCATGATACTCTTGTAGATGGAATGATGAAAGATGGACTATGGGATGTGTATAATGATTGTGGCATGGGCAGCTGTGCTGAATTATGTGCTGAGAAACATGTTATTTCAAGAGAGGAGCAGGTACTGTGGTCTCTTCAAGGGTCTCTGGAAGAAATGGACTTTCTTTTCCTGGGTAGAATTTTGGACTAATATCTTCATGATTTTTGCAGGATAATTTTTCTGTTCAGAGCTTTGAGCGTGGTATTGCTGCTCAACAGGGTGGAGCCTTTACATGGGAAATTATTCCGGTTAGACATATGCTTAATTATAAGTGTGAATCGTCATGTATAAGCTATTGTATATAACCAAATTTAGTACCACACAGGTTGAAGTTCCCGGGGGAAGGGGAAAGCCATCCATCATAGTTGACAAGGATGAAGGCTTAGGAAAGGTACATAATTTAGAGCCATCTATCACTTTTCACAATTTGATGCTTCCTGTTCTTTCCATTTCTTTAAATTGCCTAAATAAATTAAATAGATGTTATACCACTTGATTAATATTACTTTCATTTCAGTTTGATGCTGCAAAATTGAGGAAGCTGCGGCCAAGCTTCAAGGATAATGGAGGCACTGTTACTGCTGGCAATGCCTCCAGTATAAGGTCCTTTACTTGACATCTCTATTCACTTTATGCTTAGACCTGACTTCCATTTATATAAAACCATAGTCAGATTGGAAATGTTCAAGTAAAAGGCTCACCTCTTTTGAATGAACAATTTGGTTTTCCTATATTGATAGCTTATTTTCCACTTCGATAAATCCATTATCATAGGCCTCTTCGTGAGAGTTTTGCAATCAGGCAATTGCCTGTTTGGTCAAAATTAAGAAACATTTTCCTATTTGACCTCATAAGTCTTTTACGGAAATGATCTGGAATTTGTAATTAAATGGAAGTTGGTCTTATGGGCAGTGATGGTGCTGCTGCTTTAATCCTTGTCAGTGGAGAAACAGCACTTAAGCTAGGACTGCAGGTGATTGCAAAGATTTCAGGATACGCAGATGCTGCTCAGGTACTTTTCAAAACCATGTATAAATTTGAAGAAACATTTTAAAGAACTGCCAAACCGAAATATTGAGCTTTACTTTTGATGTTAATCGTCATACAACCTGTTACTTATGTGAGAAAGATTTCCAGTCTCCAGAGTTTTTCACAACAGCTCCATCCCTTGCAATACCCAAAGCCATTTCTAATGCTGGCTTGGATGCTTCTCAAATTGACTACTATGAAATCAACGAAGCCTTCGCTGTAAGATAACGGTTCTTTTTTTTCTAAATATATTATTACCTTTTGTTAAAGTTGAAAGTTTTGCAATAATGCCCCATTCTCTGCAGGTTGTGGCTCTTGCAAACCAGAAACTGCTTGACCTTAATCCAGTGAGTTCTCAATCTCTCAAAAGCACCTGCCTACTTATTTTCAAGTTTAAACATAAAAGTGAGATAAATAATGTATCAGGAAGAAAGTTACTAGTTCATTCTTCTTTATCTCACGTTCTTTTCCCTCCTTAAATGGTTGTAGGAGAAGATTAATGTGAACGGTGGAGCTGTATCCTTAGGACATCCTTTGGGTTGCAGTGGAGCCCGTATCTTGGTCACACTTTTGGGGGTTTTGAAGCAGAGAAACGGGAAATACGGAGTTGGTGGTGTTTGCAACGGAGGTGGAGGTGCATCTGCACTTGTTGTAGAGCTCCTGTAAGCAGTTTTTATGTTTAGGTAAGTCTCATGCGTACTGAAATAATCAGTAAACACAAATTCCCAATCCGCATAACTATCTCATCCGAAGACGTGATCGTGAGCTCTCGTTGTTTTCAGGTTCAATATTGTATGATGTTGCAACCGTCTTTTCAAGTATTCAGAGGATAAATTCATGCTGCCAAACACAGTTTGATGTTGTGCAATTTTTATTTCATTCTCAAATAAGTTGTAGTGTAGTGAATGAATGGAATGTTTAATTAGGTTTGAGAAGAAATATATGTTCAATGTTGCTTTTGGTTTTCCTTGCAAAACCATGACTGAATTCGGTTCTTTTCTGATATGGGGAATAGCATGTGGAAGAAGGAAAATCTTATGCCACATATATGGATGCTCTCAGCTTTAATTAACATTGTTATTTAAGGATTCAATTCATGGTATCAGGCAAAATTTTAGATCATCTCTTCTCCAATGCCAAATTGGCAACGGTATTTGTTCTAGCGCATGCATCCAATGTTAGTATATTCAATTTCCACATAGATTTTTCTTTTGGCTTACTATAAAAAGAAGTGTCTAAATTATACTCAAAATTAACTTTTGGTACTTAAAAAATTTTTCGCTAAAAATAAGTGCCTAAAGTTTTTTCCGTAACACTTTTAGGTGTTTACCGTTAAAAAAAATTCGTTGACATGTGTCACGTCCAGATTTAAAAAATAAAACGTGACATGTGTCATTTAACGGTTATTTTAAAAGTAGGCGTCTAAAAATATAACGGAGAAAACTTTAACCACCTATTTAAATCAGGAAAATAATCACGAGAAAAAAACATGATTGGAAAAATAACATCAAGATTTATGAAGAACGTGAAGATTTTATATTCATTGTTAATTATTTGATAAAAAATATTTTTTTAAATAATATAATTTTGATAAGCGTCAAATAAAAAAAATTAACGGTTATTACAATGTTAAGTTAATCAATAATATTTTTTAATTAATAAAGAGTATAAATTAGTCATTTATTTTTTATATTAAACTTTTAAAAAAATGATAATTTATATATTTAATATCTAAATTATTATTTTCGTTCTATTTTAGTTATTAAACTTTATTTTTTTAAAAGAATACTTAATATTTAGTTTATGTTTCATTTTGGAATCCATCGTTAAAAACATAATAGTAATATTGATGTGTCCTCATAATATAATATCAAGTCATCATTAAAAAAAATTAAGAAAAAATATCACTTCAATAGTTCTATTATATTTTTAATGACAAGTATCATATTGAAGTATAAACTAAATAATTAGTTTATTTTAAAAAGGAATTAAGTACTAAGATATAATAAAAATAATAATTTAGATACTAAATGTGTACTTTATCTTTTAAAAAATAACTATATTATGTATCGACCATTTTTGTAAAGTTAAATACATTTAAGGGTTATTTGATAAAATATAATTATTAAGCGTTGAATGAATCAAAATCTTTGTATGAATTAATTCTAAATATGATATACTGTTTGATAATAATTTTAAATATATTTATAAATATTTTTATTTTTATCTTTATAATAATTTATTATATTATAAGGTATCTGTACTAATCAAACGGTCCCTTAGCCGATATTCCTCTCTCTCTCTCTCCCCCCCCCCCCCCCCGGTTGGAAGGAAAGAGAAAAACCAATTATCAACAAGGAGTAGAGAAGAGAGCAGAGGGCTGCCCAAATCCCATAACAGGGCGATTTTCATTCCTTTACCAAAAATCATGGCGGTAATTTCCCTTCTATCATCCTTCATTTATATCTCATTCTTTTTTTCTTACGATCGATCCATTTTTTTTCATATCGTTCGTTTTAATTTTATATCCTCTTGTTTTTATTATCTTCTGTTGAAGTTGCTTCCTCTTCCTCAATGTTGTTAGTTAATAGTTATCTTTTATTTTATTTTTTCAGAATGAATTTGTTGACCTTTGTATTATGTTCTTCGTTTTTCTTAATTTGATTGCGTTAAAGAATTCGATCATACAAAAATTTATTTATTGTTGTTTTTGTTGTTATTATTTCCTTTCTCAGATTTTATTTTTACGATTATGCTTCAAGTTTAACTATAAATTTCTTTTGGAAAAAAGGTTTAGAGGCGTTTCATCGTTAGCTCTTATATATTAATATCTATAATATATAATATAAGACACATGAATTCATTTCCCATTTATCAATTTTTGACATTTGAAGGAATTCGATGGATAGTTTTATCAAAATAATAATAATAATAATAATTCAAATACAGTTATTATTAGATTGAAAATTAATCCTATTAGTGCCTTCATGACTATTTGGTGTTGCTGAATTTTGTTTTTTATGCTATCGTTTGGTCGTACTGAATAAAATTTTAATGTTAAGCAATGATTATTTGTGCTATGTTGTTTTGACGTTTGGTTTTAGAAATATGCTGCATGTTCATACAGTGTCCGTGCTTTCAATTTTATCCTATCCTTGCTCTAAATCATGTGCATTCAACATTTTTTAACTACCTCATTGCTTAAAAGTAATCAGTATGGTTATGCGGAATTTTATGTGTATTTCTAATCTATACATGTCATCTTCATGAATCAGCTGTCTTTTATTATGTTACTTTTCTTGAATGGTCAAATATCATGATTTGAGTTCTGGAATTTAAGTAGGCTGAATCGTTTCATGAATGTATTCATTTGTGGCAAGTTTCTTTGAGACGATGGATCCATTGAATGAGCTGTTATGGTGTACAGGATAAAGGTCGACCATTGCCTAAGTTCGGTGAATGGGATGTCAATGATCCAGCATCAGCCGAGGGGTTTACAGTTATCTTCAACAAGGCTCGGGATGAGAAAAAGACAGGTGGGAAGGTTGAGTCTCTAGGGACTAATGATCCCGCATGCAAGCAAGATGCTGCTTCTGGAAAGCCGCAAGTGAGTAGTAATCCTGCTTATGCCTAATTCTTATTGCAGTTAAGTAAAGATCCCTCTAGTTCTCCTTTTTTGAGCACTTTGTTCACCCTTAGAACCACACGGTTTAAATTTTAATGTCTTGAAACATCGCTTCTCTCGCTCATAAAAGAGATATATTTAACTTTTATTTGTTTTTAGTGCTATGTCCAATTGTCCATGCCTACTAGACACTTCCTTTTCTGATTTATCAAACAGAGAAGGGCCCTACCAGGATGGATTTCTAATAGTACTATCGCCCCCTCTTTGCATGCCGTGACTGCTCCGTTTACTTGATTTAGTCGGTTCTGATCATTGTGATCAAACATAGTAAAAAAAAGCTCACTTGTTTGGATCATTGCTTTTGGTTAACTCATCCTGCATTGATGCTACTTTCCATGCCGTGACTGCTCCGTTTACTTGATTTAGTCGGTTCTGATCATTGTGATCAAACATAGTAAAAAAAAGCTCACTTGTATGGATCGTTGCTTTGGTTAACTCATCCTGCATCGATGCTACTTTCCATGCCGTGACTGCTCCGTTTACTTGATTTAGTCGGTTCTGATCATTGTGATCAAACATAGTAAAAAAATCTCACTTGTTTGGATCATTGCTTTTGGTTAACTCATCCTGCATTGATGCTACTTTCTGTTTCTTTTGAATACAATCATGCGATATTGCTGTCCCTTTTCCTTCCTTATATTAAATCTGATGTTTTGGATCTCATGGAATGAAAAGAAAATTAAGATCTTGATGAATAATATATCATTGATTCTTATTTGACTGCAATTCGATTTCTTTTCGAAGCATACAGCTTGTTAGTGCAATGCAATTATGCAATGTCCTGGCAACTTCTTTTTTTCGGTCGTGGGGACCTTTTGATCAAGGGCATGTTGTTTTGCTTTCAAATTCAGCTGTGTGGGTATTGTTGTTTCATGTTTTTATCGATTTCAAAATATTCACATTACAGCAGAAAAAATGGTTTTGCTGTGTACGAGCTACTCATGCAGATTAAGTAGATAGCTCCGCCAAGAGAGATCATTAAAATATCTACACCAAGTCCTTGCCCCTTCCGAAGTAATCCAGAAGACCGGAGCGGCATCGTAAGCTATGATAGGTCCTGCTGGAACCGGTTTCGCTTGCTTGTTGGAGCTTTGGCGATGGAAAAACAATGTTTCCAAGTTTATGTGAGCTTGTTACCACTGCAGTTTTGATGCCTGCTTTATTAAAATACTTGATTTGATGCCCGGCTTATTCCCGTGATTTAAATTGAATTGTTATCATATTAAATATTTATATAACACGTGATCCCTTACACTAATGTGAAACTCACTCCCATGAATTTTGAAGTTTTATACAGTTGATATTTAACACTAATATAATAAATATGCTCCTACAAATCAAACGTGTTTCACATTATCACTGCTATGGCATCTCAATCAAACGGTTGTGACAACACCACCCCCATTATCGCCGACGTGATGTCCGAGATATACAAGACGTGGCATTGTAATTGAGACAAGCTCCTTCGAGACCAAAGACAACGGAATTTTTAAAGGAGAGAGACCGAAAATCGGTACAAAGAAAAATGGGTGAAGGAAAGACAAGGTTTGGACTTTATTTTTTTATTAATAAGAATCAAATAGGTTTTTAATGGACTATCAGAAGAAAAAATATACTTATTTGGAGTAATTGTTGATAGGCCCTTCATCTTTATTCAAGAAGTTAATATTATGACATGTGATACGACCTGACAATCTGATTGATCCATGTGTCTGATCAGCTTAAAAATGAACGACACCAGTGCTTGAGGCCTATTAATAAACGAAATTAACTAAATTTGCATGACAAAGTTGTGTGTTTTAGTCATCCAATTCAATTTCAAGTTCAAATTCGTGTAGCATTCACCTTTTCTATTGGAATGTTTCATTTCATAATCTCCTATTTAAGGTTCTCATGTGTAGCCCATGGTATTGTACATCCATAAGTATTCTTATCTTAATTTTTTTGACAAATGTTAGCCCAATATAATCCCTTTTTAAAGTGACCAAGTGAGAACTTAAACCTACGTTAATTGGAAAGTATAAGAACATTTAAACCATCGAAACAAGTCTAATATTTAGTTTATAATTGTATATTTTCTACTTAAATCAATTCCCCTATAAGAGGGCCCACCCATTTCCGCTGAAATTTGCCGACAACTCCGATGCTCGGTTTCAAAATCCATCTCCGACCGGACATAATTATGGCAATAACAACTGCCATTCAAAGCCAAAGATATTGGTGACAAATATCAACATGTCAAAAAGGACCCATAGCAACATGTGTGAGACATATTTGCACAACTCAACCATCCAAGTAGAGGTAGTTTACTAGGCTACCATACAACATATGAACACCGTATACCAGAGTTTACAAACTTCATTGCAGAGATTTTATACGCAAAATATCTTGGTGTTGGAGCAGTTGTCTGCTATACAAGGCTACCATATACTCCTCTCTTCCTCGCATAGCCTCTTGTAAAGTCTCTTTTGATGATCAATAAACTGCAAAAATAAATCCCTTCGCTCCTTCGCTTTCTCGTATTCCTCGGTTCTACAATAAACAACCTTCAATTCATTGTTAAAGCAACCATCCCTTCTACTCGGTAGTTTGTTCTGTCCATTGTAAATGCTTGAATCAAACATCTAATACAATAGAAATAGTGTCAAAAATCATGGAGGGAAATGATTGTAAGATGATGGTTCTGACGCAAGCGTCCATGAATGTCTTTGGACCTTTCGTTGTCCTGAAAATATAATTAATACACTCGAGTAGGACTTACAGGAGATTTTAGCATCAAGCTCCAATGATCAGTCGTTGACATTTTTCAGCGGCTACCCATGGTCTGCAGGCAGTGATATGAAGGGATGATTTGAGAACAAATCTGAGTATACTAATCCAAAAAGAAAAGTTATAATAGAGTTCAGCTGAATGTAAAAGATAAATTCACATTTCGTAGCTCTGGTACTCATAACCAACTCGAGTAAAAAAAATCCCCGAAAAGGACAAGAAAAGAACAAAAGCATCTGTATTGTGTAACTCGGATTTAGGAAAATAAGAAGAGGAATCAAAAGTGCAAGCTCAATAAATGTGTTGATAGCCAACAAGGAAATGCTGATGGGTTTAATAGTAGCACAAACAAGATGATAAAATCACTAGTTAATAAATCAAATTCTGAAGTTATAATGCTATAAAGACAACACAATTATATGCATATGTTATAACTTACCTCCCATTTGAGGATACGATGAAATGATTAGGATTCTGCAAAAAATCAAACAACCGTCCTTCGACATCTCTTTTGCAGTCCAACATGATGACACCATTGGCATATGGCTCCCATGGTAAACTCGGGAAAATATATACTTGTGTTGCAATTGAAGTTTGTTTATAGATAAACTTTGAAACTGCTAATGAAGATAATTCTTTTTCGAGATTCTGAACTAGTATTAAGTAAAGCTTTTTACCCCCTCCTACATCAGTATCCTGTCTATCGTTGCAATTTTCTCCTATAACAATAGCACAGAAAACTTGCTATTACATACGAAGAAAATTTATTGATTTGAATCGAGTATTTTAGAAATAAAATTACGGACAAACCTTTTGATGGCCACACTTCACTCAAAGACCGCCGAACATACTTTCCCTACAAATACATAGGTATAGCATCAATATCTCCCACCTACTATATGCTTGGAAACAAATAAACTCCAAAACTTCACATACAAAAAAGTTACCTGTCTCAAATTCCCGATGAGTCGCCGCTTCTGTTTGACAATTGGGCTACTGTTGTTTTCTTTAAGTTGAACAACAGGATCATTACTAGTAGTGCCAGAAACAAATTTGCACGAGGCTTTCTCGCTGTTTCGGATCGCTATCTCCATGAAAGTTGCTACTTTGGGGTGTAACTCAGAATCTTGCAGAAGGCATATATTTGCAACCCCCTTGTTTGATACATTGCCAACATTAGGACCATGCAGCCAAAAGAGCAGGAAGATGCAATTACACTCTTCTTGGCCATTTAGATTCGAATGCTCCTTACGCAGAATCTGAAAGATGAAAAAAGTAGCTCACTTTCTTAATAGAAATAAGAACTCCACATCAGGGATTTAAATTGCAGTTGCCTTTTCGGTTGTGTTTATAGCTATTGCGATCATTGCGGGTATCATGGTGTGAAATAACGGTTTTAGACGGTACCTTTACTGCTATATAACCGACACTATTTAAATCCCTGTAGTCAACATATATCTTTATCTAAAGTAAAGTACATGAGCATAGACCTATTCTTCAATACCAAAAATGGGATGTCCGCCAAATACCAATACAAGAGCAATAACAATTATATCCTTTATGTTAAAGCTAAAAAGAAATAAGTAACACCCAGATGAGGTCTTTTAACAGTTTCATACCGGAGGCAAAAAAATTGCAAATATGCAAGACCTTCATTTCCGAACAGATTTAGGATTTTTTTTCAAATGGGCAAAAAATAAAATTGAAAATACAATTACATGCATAGTTTGAAAGATAATGGGAAAAGAGTTGTACGCACATCGTCGACGATGGCATCGTAAAAGAGAACTTCGCCATCGGCAAAAGTATCGGAAGCGCAAACGCGCATGCCTTTGACGACCTTGAGGCAATCATGATCCTGAAGCTGAGCGGAGACCTTACGTATCCTGCCAACGAAGTCGTGAATCTCGTCCTCCGACTTAAAATTTCCATCCGGGAAAACGTCGTCTATATCGTCGGGGAAGTTGTCGTACTTGATTCTCAGCTTTTCACTTCTGTCGCCCTCTAACAATAATCGGACACTGTACCAGGCGTCGTCTGGGTACGACCGGAATTCCATATCGTAATCTTCATCCGTCGTATCTAAGGAGTGGCTGGCGCCGGATTGCGACATTGCTGACGGCGTGTCTTTGCTTCCCCCCCCCCCTTTTCTGTAAGCTTGAAAGGTGACCGATTTTCTGTTAAGTCTTTTTTGGATTTTTGTAGAGAAAAGAAAACATACGAAGGACAGTAAACAAAAGGAGTTCGGCTGTAAAATGTTCGACACTATTTCCACTGCTGACCTCGTTTATTTTTCATACTCGTGCACCTCTAATCTGGAATGAATTAAGTATTTTATATTTGAGATCTATGTTGTAATCTTTTTTTTCAAAAACAATATTTATAAAAAAATTAAAAATATATTTATATTATTTAAAAATTTGAAATTACGATTGACCTTAATAGTTCTCCTTAAATATTCGAGAATTATACTTAAATAAATATTTCTTTATATTTATCTTATATTAATAAATTATAAAAAAAGACATTTAAATTTCTTAGATAAAACAGTGAAATATTATTTTTTATGATTATAATTTAAAAGCAATGTATTTTAAAATATCTTGGAATATACTTTAGATATTATTAAAGTAATTTTTTTTGGTACACGATGAAAACAGCATACTAATGTCTCAACTCGCCCGCTTCATTCCTATCAGCTCCCAACATTGCAAGAATTTCAGTTGGAGGGACTGTAAAATGGAGATATCTTCTTCTTGAAGAAGTGCTAGATTCGCCAACTTATCAGCGCATTTATTTCCTTCACGCCACATACGCCGAACTTCAACCACCCAATCTTCCTTAAGGATGTTTAAGCAGTCATTAACCATATAGATTTCTGAAAGGTCTCCCATCCTATCTCCATTAAAGAGATCCACAACCCATTTTGCATCCATCTCTATGATCAAATTCCTTAATCCAAGACTTTTAGCTAAAATGAGACCCTGTCGAGCCCCCCAAATTTCAGCGATCGAGCTATTAACCCTCCTTAATCTCAACATGTATCCAGTTTTCCAGTCTCCATTGCTATCTCGGATCAGTCCACTTGCAGCTGCCAGATCTGAATTCATCTTATACACACCATCAGTATTTAGAATCCATCCTCCCTCATGTGGTTTTTTCCATTTTACCCAACAAGGATCATTTGCCATCTTTCTATGAGAGGCTAACAAGGCCTTCTCTATATCTCTGGCAAACTGCTTAGCATAGTTTATCACTTTAAATGGATCAGCTATCGCCTCTTTAAAAATCCTTTCATTTCTGCTCTTCCACAGCCCCCAAATGGTTGCCATAAACAAGGGACCCCATTCTAAGCCATTAATCCCGATCTTCTTTGGGAGGCAGTTTCTTTTCAGCCAATTTTTGAAATCCATATAAGTAAATTGACTATCTTGCTCTCTAGCTTTTAACTCTTCCCAAACGACTTTTGCTACGTGACACATTCGAAATATGTGGTTTATTGATTCAATTTCGTTTCGGCAATCTTTACAGTTTGCGTCTTGTGTCATGTTCTTCCTGCATCCAACTTCATTTGTATTGAGTTTGTCTAGGTAGGACATCCAAATAAAGAACCTGATTCTGTCGCTGGTATTTGTTTTCCAAATCCACTTCAGATTTTCCCCATATTGACCACCCATAGAGATGGCTTGGTATGCTGAAGTAACCATAAACTGCCCGTCCTTAGAGAATCCCCAAGTATTTTTATCTTGTTCTTGAAAATCAGTCAAAACTGGAATCGAGACTCTTTGAAATTCCATCCTTGTCTCTTCAGAGATCAGGTGTTGAATTTCTCGGATATTCCATGATCTATCCTCGTCAATATATCTGGCTACCTCTTCATTTCTGCTCGGGTCGTCCATTAATGGATATAGGTTCTTAAATAATAATATTATTTTTTAATACAAAAGCTGGCTTCAAAACGCGCATCATCCTCCGCATCCATTCGGACTGCGTCTGGTATAAATTCATAAATCATAAAGAAAAAATGCCACCTCACTCGTCCATGCCATGCTAGCTAACCTATCCGCAACCTTATTGCCTTCCTGTGGAACAAACTGAAACTTCTACTGCCAGTCCCAATTAAGAAGAGCCTGAATATTGGGCATCATTGGAGAGCAACTCCTTACATCCAACTTACTTTGAAGCCTGTTTATCACCTCCTTGTTATCACTTTCAACAATGATCCGCCAAAAATTTCTATCCCAAGCCACACATACACCCATATATATCCCCCAAAGTTCTGCATCAACCACCGAACAGTAACCTATACGCTTTGAAAAACCAATAATCCACCCACCCAGATGATTACGAATAGTACCTCCAAATGTTGCAAGTTCCGTTGATGCATTCCGCGAGCCATCAGAATTTAGCTTCATCCAACCATTCATAGGAGCCTGTCACCCAACGTTGCAGTTCTCCTTCGATAGCCGAGGACCCTGCAATTGTTGCCTTCTAGCAAGAGCTACAGTCACCTCCTTAGTAAGCCATACACTCCGCTAGAGGATACTTCCATTCTCAACATACTCCATATCGAAAATAATCTTGTTCCTTCGAGTCCAAATACTCCAAACCATCGAGCCAAAGAAGAGATCCCAATCGTCTTCCACAATGGGGAAATACCGGGATTGCCGTAAATTCTTATCAATCCAGCTTACGACATCATCTTCCATGAATTCCTCAAACAGATGAGGTTTAACAACATCCTTCCACACCTCTCGTGTTGCCATGCATTCATGGAAAATATGAGAGAAACTCTCCATCGCTGCACCACATAACGCACAGTTCGAATCGATTGTCAAATGTTTACGCATTCGTTCTTCATTTGATAAGAGCCGTCCTTTACAGATGGTCCAAAGCAGCATTCTAACACGAGGCCAACCCCTATATATGTAGAGAATATCGCACGGTGCAGCAGCAGCTCCATAGGTATCCAGCAATCTCGCAGCATATGCACTGGTGATGGAAAACAGACCCTATCAAATCCGGACCACTGGTGGGCAAAGGAGGACGAACAGCTGCCAACGCTGAGCAGGCAGTACTCGACAAACACTCCTTGAACAGCCGCCACATCCATTCCCCATCCAAATCCACAAAGCAGCAAACGGCAAACCCCTTTCCAGGTATACTCACATTCGGTTTCAAATGATAAACAAGAGGCCCCAAATCCCCAAGCCAATCATCGGAGTCAACTGTATTTGCCACTGCTTCGTTGGAAGGGGACCGTTCTGCTGCATACTTCTCTCTGTTGATCTTTATGTTTTTTGCTTTCTTATTCTACTGTTCTCGAGTGATTTTTACTAGACACTTCTGATGTTTCTAAGGCCAACGTATTCCTTGTTTCAAAAAAAAATTGATGGAAACAATCACTTTTTTCAAAATGTAGAAAGACTAATTCACGTAATTTAAAATTAATTTATGATGATTTTTAATATAAAATATTATCTTATTTAACTTTAAAATCATAGTATATATAATAATATCAATTACAATAAAATAACATTGCATTGCAATTAATTTTAACCTAAAATGTTATATATCCAACATGAAAGTTATATAATTGATAATAATTTTGATTACAACAAAAAATGTCTAGATAATGAATTTTTAATTGCAACCGGGACAATTATACATTCCCGTGATTTATTATGAAGAATGTAATATTTTTAATTTAAACCTAAAATATTACCTTATCCAACTTAAAACATTAACAGATCGTATTTTAAACTATTCCCCAGTTTGCACTCCCTGTTTAAAAGGTAGAAAGACCAATTTACACATTTTTTCAATAAAAGAATCAAAATGCAGTTCAAATATAGTACAAGGACTACCGTACTACTTCAACAATATACATCACTAAGTACTTATGGTAACTATTATAGGAGAATTCTACTTCCTTCACATCATTAATCAACCAAGAAATGATTTCAACGTGCACAGTAAGTACAATTTTTTTTATAGGAATTAAAGGTCTAGTTAAAAACCTCCCTTCTTAATTAAAGGAGCTTGTAGAGAAACTCCTTAATCAGAGGAAGGAGGTAAAGAATGCCTTAAGATTTCATTCAACATAAGAAAATACAAAAGATACAATCCTAGAGCCACCCCAACATAGACAAAACACCAAAAACAACCGAATACAACCTTCAACCACAACACTAACAGCCTAATCATCTCAGCTACAACAACTTTCAAATGACTAACCAGACTAAAAGCAAAACTTGGCCCGAAATACAACATAACACAATACAACTATAAAAAAGGCCAAATATACCAGCTGACACAATCCATAGAAGCCAAATTCAAACTCCGAAGCCATGAGCTTCCACACGATAAGAGTTGAACAAAACAGACTTCGAAAAAATTCTATCCGCCCTTCTGCCACTAATTGCTCGACTTCACATCGAAGACCCTCCGAACTTCCAACTCCATAATCAAAAATCATATTCTAGTCCCCTCAAAACTATTCAGTACTTAATGATTAAGTTAATACTTCCACTGCTATAATGTTCCGAAATAAAAAACACTTGTGAGCATTTAGACTCTAAACCCAAATCATTCCCGATTTGTAATGAATATTTCGCTTCCTTCTTTTGAGTCTGCCACCTTGCTCGAAAATCAAAATCATATAGGGATCTACCTACAAGTTCAGGCCAATCTTCCTCGCGTTGCACCTTGCTCTGGTAATTCTTGCTACAGCGGTCTTGGAGAGAGCTGAAATAATTCTTTTTCCCCTTCTTTGCTCTTCGGTTCTGCCTGGTCTCACCCTTGGATCTTTTGAATGCACAATAATTTGTAAGGCCCACAATAGTCCCATCCTCCACCACCTTTGAGTCTACCCGACCATCTAACATGGGGAAATCAATTAAATAATCCTTAATTCCCTCATAAGCACGTGCAGTCTCACCACTTTTCCTTATGTCATTTTCTGCCTCTCTCTCCGCGTGGTCCAACACTTCCTCGTGTTCCACCACTTCCTCAAAATTCGTTTGTACCATCCCCTAACCAGCAACCACATTCCTCAGACCCGTAATTAATTCCTCCCCTATGTTCCTATCCTCCTCATCCTCACCCGACAAGTTGCTGCCTCTAATTCTGTTCCCCAAACAACATAATAGGATGTCTTCTTCCTCAGAAAACCGCTCGGAATTCTTCTCCACCAATGAGTCCACCTCAGCACACTCCTCCATCGCGGGAGGCTTAACTGGCGAGTCACTAACAAGTTCCTCCACCGTGG